GTTTTGTCCTTCCTCCTTGTCCTTGGAGATGCTGGAGCATGTGGCAGCTCTCTGTAATTTTATGGGATTAAGTAATAAAAAACTGAAATTAGGTGCTCCTTTCTAAAAGCAATTTGTAGGAATTTGGTGCCCATATGTGATGGACTCCTACAAATAGGAGCCCAAGCCAAGATGAGCAAGGAATTACAAAGGAGGATCCATACAAGTATGTTCATAAATCCCATCTTTGTAGCAGCTGATGAGGAACATTTGGTTTCTCTCTGCTATCCCTCCTGCAGTTTCAGAGACAGCAGTGTGGTGGAATTGCTTGGAATGGAGGATAAACTGGTTTATAGCCTTTCTGCCTGATAGTGGCAGGAGGTTTTTCCACAAGAGGTGAGGAAGGGGCCACTCCCAGCCTGGAAGCACAAGCTCAATCCCTGTCCCACAGTGTTTGGAACAGGACTTGGAGGAATTGTTCAGCTGATGGACTCAGATTGTGAAGGGGATCAGCCTTACTTCAAAAACAGCAGTGAGCTGTCCATGGCAGCATTCCTGGAAGGAAATGGGAGCAGCAGTGTGGGCACAGGGAGCACAGGTCCTGCAGCTTCTCCTGGGGTTCCTTGCAGGGTGACAGCAGCATCCGCTACTTCGAGATCACGGATGAGTCCCCGTACGTTCACTACCTCAACACCTTCAGCAGCAAGGAGCCGCAGAGGGGCATGGGGTTCATGCCAAAGAGGGGCCTCGACGTCAACAAGTGCGAGATTGCCAGGTGAGGAGAGCTCATCCCAGGGCTGGGAGCAGGCTGGGAGCTGGGGCTGGGGATTTCAGCAGTGGTTAAAGCAGCAGAGCAGTGAGCACAGGGCAGCCGTGGTTCAGAAAACCTGGGAAGGGCAGGAAACATCTTGGGATGGCACTGCAGTGGCTCCAGGAGGGAATGTCACTGCTGGCTGGGGACATGAGCCATTTCTTCTCCCAGGAAACAAGTGATAGGACAAGGGGAAATGTCCTCAAATATTAGGAACAATTTCTTCATGGAAAGGGGGGTCAGGTGTTGGAAGGGGCTGCCCAGGGCAGGGGTGGAGTCCCCATCCAGGAGGGATTTAACAGCCCTGTGCATGTGGCATTTGGGGACATGGGTTATGGTGGCCTTGGCAGTGCTGGGGGAATGGTTGGACTTGGTGGTCTCAGGGATTTCTGTGGCTCTTTGGCGTTGCTCCTTTCCCATCTCCTCCATCTCCCTGATCCTCACTCCCTGTCCCACCTCTCCTTTTCCACGGCAGGTTCTTCAAGCTCCACGAGAGGAAGTGTGAGCCCATCATCATGACGGTTCCCCGCAAGGTGAGCACTATCCTGGGGCCGGGCTGGAGCCAGCTCCTGCTTCCCAAAGCTCCTGATTGATCCATGTCTCCTGCCTTGCAGTCTGACCTCTTCCAGGACGACCTGTACCCGGACACAGCCGGCCCGGAAGCAGCTCTGGAAGCAGAGGAGTGGTTTGAGGGGAAGAACGCTGATCCTCTCCTCATCTCCTTGAAGCACGGGTACATTCCAGGCAAAAACAGGGATCTCAAGGTGGTCAAGAAGAACATACTGGACAACAAACCTGCTGGGAACAAGAAGAGTGATCTCATAAATGCTCCAAAGAAAGCAGCGGATGCCTCAAACTCCGTGAGTAAACTCCAGGAATTTTGGGGATGATAGCCTCAGGTGGGAATGCCAGGGTGGGAGGGAATGGTTGGAGCTCTGTCAGGGGAAGGTTAGGTTGGATATCAGGAAAAGGGTCTTCCCCCTGAGGGTACTGAGGCACTGACCAGGTTCCCCATGAGATGTCACAGCCCCAAGGCTGCCAGAGCTCCAGGAGCATTTGGACAAGGCTCTCAGGCACAGGGTGGGATTGTTGGGGAGTCCTGGTCAGGGCCAGGAGTTGGACTGGATGATCCCTGTGAGTCCCTTCCAACTTGGGATATTCCATGATTCTGTGATTCTAATGCTTCTGCAGATATGGAAGATTACTTGAAATTGTTTTTCCTAAATCACAGAACCATTAAAGTTGGAAAAGACTTTGAAGATCCCCAAGTCCAACCCTAACTCAAGATCCCCAAGTCCAGCCCTAACCCAGCACCTCATTCACCACTAATCCCTGTCCTTTGGGACAGAGAGGAAAGTATGGCTTAAAGAGCAGCTGCTGGTCCTGGATGGGTGCCCTGGTGCTGCTGGAGATGCTCCTCCATGCCCTGAGCATCCCACTGCTCCAGAGTCCGTCACACCCTCATCCCTCCAACAATCCCACAGGGAGGAGCCCTTTCCATGGGAAAGCCCAGAGCTCTCCTCACTCATCCCTCTCTCATCTTCCAGCAAAACGACGCCAAATTGGACGAGATTTTGAAGGAGCTGAAATCCATCAAGGACACGATCTCCAACCAGGACGAGCGCATCTCCAAGCTGGAGCAGCAGATGGCCAAGATCGCGGACTGACGGGGCCGCCAGCCCAGGCACATCCCAGCTCCCAGTTCAGCCAGCAGCAGCCTGCAGCATTCCAGTACGAGCTTTCCTGTTCTCCTAAATCCACGTCAACGAGAGGCGATGATTTCAAGCCAAGCTTTTTAGTGAAAGATCTTTTTTCGTTTCCTGATGTTCCAATGAATTTCTGTGACTGTGTCAAAAACAAGGCAAAAACGAGAAGTGCTACTTTTACAGGTTTTTTTTGGGTTTTCTTCCAGATGTTATGAATCCTTGAAAAACGAATCCATTCTTGACTTTCAGTGTCATGCCCAAATATCTTTTTCTAGATTTAGGGACCAACGCCACATTGTTCTTAACCATTTTTTTTTTTAGAGTTGCCAAAAAATAGAAAAAAAAAGTTGCTTTTATTTTTCTTATTTGCCACTTTTGCAGTATTTGTGTTTCCATTCCAAGGGACAGGGGGTGTGGGAGGTGTTTACACTGTGCAGAGAACAAAGCTGAAGCTATTTTGTATAAATCCTCCATTTGGAACAATCAGGTGGGTTCCCTTCCTTTCTCTTTCCTGTGGAATCCCCTTGGAGATGGGATCAGCTGCCTTTCCTGCTCCACAATGTGTCCCCAGCCCTGTTGGCTGACAGAAAAATACAAATATATCATTCTGAACGAAGGGATTTATTTCCTACTGAAGTTTTAAGCCAGCACCATGTTCCCATTTTCCTACAATCCCAAGGTTTGTTTCCATGACCAAACTCACTTGTTTTACTTGCTCATTTTTATTTCCATTTCAAGGCAGAAGTGACTTCCATGCAGGAATGTTTTTATCCATGGAGCATGGAGTTCCAGATGAGCTGTGGGATGCCAGCAGTCGTTGCTGTAAATCCTTGTTCCTGCCCCCCAACACTCCTGAGCTCATGGATTTTAAGGAGCTTTTGGAATCCATCAGCCCTTCACACCAGTACTGATAATAGGAATTTTCTGTGCTTCCAAGGCAGCATTAGCAGCAGAAAGGTGATTTTTCCATGACAATTCTCCACAAACAAAATGCCTCTGTTATTTTTTTATCATTTGTTTTCTCCTGTCCATCATTCCCATTCCTGCCTCCCACCCTTCCCTGCAGGAAAGGATTTGTTCCCGGATCAGATGAGTGACCTCCAACCCCAAACCCCCCTGCACTCCCAGCCCTTCAGAGCAGAAGGGACTGGGAGAATGGATTTGCTCCCAGTTTGGAGAACTGGTTTCTCACACAGCTCCCTTGGGATCCTGCAGGGAGAGGCTCTAGGCTGGCGAGCTCCTCCTGGAATTCCATGGAGGCTCAGCTCAGCAAAGCTCTGCTCAGGCAGGGTCTCCCCTGTGGAGGAGCTGTCAGGGATGGGGCAGGCTGGCTCCCTGCTCCCAGGCTGTGTCCTTGTGCTGGGAATGGGATCCAGGACACCCCAGGAAACTGTGCCAGGCAGGATTGCTGCTGCCATTCCTGGCACAGTCCATCCCTGCAGTGCCAGGGAGTGCTGATAACCCATCCTGAATCCACAGGTGGGCAGAGACCATCAGGTGTCTGAGAGCTCTGGATCCTTATCCCAGCTGGATTCTGTCCCTGTGGCAGCTCCATGTGCTCCCACCCGGAGCATCCCAGTGGACACGAGTCACTCATCCAGGCTGAAGTGATTGATTTTTTTTATTTTCCATTAGTTTAGCTAGGAATTCTCCAATTTTCCATTTTTCCCAGTGTTTGCATGTTCAGAATTCCAGGTTAAGATTCCCTGTTGTGGAGGGATGTGTGTGTGGAGGCAGAATCGGCCGGGGGACGTAGCTGAAAGGCACAAGGATGGGATGGAGGAGACAGAGGATGTGGTGGGATTGCAGAGCAGGAAAGCTTCAGAAAAGTGGGATTTCTGTGTTTTAGGGACAAGTGGCATCCCCTGCCCTGTGCCCGTGGATCCCCAATCCGGCTGCTCCAGGTTCTTTGGCTGTTTGGTGACGTTTCTGTATTGCAGTAAATGCCTGAGATGTGTATTTTTATGGATTTTTTTTTTCTTTTGGATCCCAAGCCCGAAGGTTGTTCTCCCCACAGTGGTGATTTCTGTGTTGATTTGTACGTGTGACTTCAGGGTTGTGTGCTCGGGGACCTCGGGTTTGTTCCTTAACATTGGAGGGAAATCAGTTTTGGGAGCCGCTGGATTGAGGTGCCCGGGGGTGGGGGTGTGGGAGATTTTAGTTCCTAGCCTGTATTTTATTTAAATGAACTGATGCCTCGCCAGGCTCAACCGGAGTCAGTGCCTGAAGCTTTTTGTAGCCGTGATATCCCGGGAGAGAACCAGCCCAGTCCGGAAAGACGCGCTCTTATAGAGCGGCCAGAGTATCTGTCCAAATATTTGCTTCCATTTTCAAAAGATAAAAGTCATTGATTATAAACTGCCTCTGCTTGGCTTTTCCTTTGGCTCTCGGCATTCCAGCTCTGATTGATAACTGGGATATGGAGTGGGGGACACTTGAGTGGGAGGCTGTGGCTCAGGGGGTCCTTGGGGACCTTGTGCTCTTGTTCCAGGAAAGCCAGGGCCCATTCCTGGGGTCACACGTGGAATCCTCCCTGGTGATTCCCAGTGATGAACCCAAGAGCTTGGCTGGATGTGGGATGTGATGGCACAGATGTGCTGGGGAATCTCGGGGTGGATGGGAATGATGTGTTCCCAGGAAGGAACAGCCCTGGTAGTTCCTGCTTGGGAACTACCCTGGATCAGGGGGGCTCGTTCTGCTTCTCCCCAGGTGAAATTTGTTTCCAGGCTGCAGGAAGTCTGAAATGACACAGAGCCTGGGCTGGAAACAGCATCTCTTACTCCACCCAGGTTTGAGTTTTCTCAGGGCTGAGGCATTTCAGGGGATGTTGCACAACCACCTCCAGAACACCGCGACCCCGGCACCGCCCCAAAGCTGGGCAGGCTCCCAGAGAGTCAGTGCGCCCTGAGAACCATGGATCCATCCCAGGGATGCTCATCCCACAGGCCTGAGCCCCATTTCCTCCCTCTTCCAGCCCCCTGGCCAGGTGTTTCGGAGCAGGGACGGGCCGGGGTTTCCGAGGGCGGGGGGTTGTTGACACCCCGAGCCCGTTCCTGCGGATGCGCCTCTTGCAGCACCTTCCTGCGGCTGCGGCTGCGCCTCCCGCCCAGAGCCTGCGGTTGGGGCGGGGGGTTTCCTGTCGTGCCAATGCCACGAGGCCGGGACAACACCCAGGACAATACCCCCGAGAGCCCCTCCGAGCATCCTGGGGATGGTGCAGAGAGAAGGAGCCCGGCACAAGGGCTGTGCAAAAACATCAAGTCAGGCCCTCACCCTCCTCCACCTCGTGTGCTAAAGCGTTTCCCGGTGCTGAGGTATCTCAGGGCACCCTGCTCCCCTCCCTGGCCATGCCCACACCGTGCCCGCGGGGGTGGCAGCCCTGGCACCAGGTTTGCCGTCACTTCTGCTTTCGGAGCGACGCGAGCCCTGGAGCGCAGCTGCTCCGCGGGGCCGCCGGTGGGGCCGAGCCCTCCGAGGAAGCCCCCTTTTTTGGGGTGCAGCCCACACCCTGCCACCCTCCCCGGGGGTGCCCGCAGCCCCCCAGCCCTCGCTGGCCCCGCTGTCGCCGTGACGTCCTTCCCCCCGCGGGTTCTGAAACCGCAGCCGCTTTTCCGCGCTCCCTCCCTTTCCCCGCCCGGCCGGAGGTGCAGGAGGAGGGTGGCCCACGACGCCCCGCGGGTGCCGGTGCTAGGGCCGCCCTCGCCCCCCGCCCCGTGCCAGCCCTCGCCGGTGAGTCCTGCAGTTGGGATCCCACCGCGTCCATCAGCACAGGTGAGCCCCGGTGGGAAGCTGCTGGAGCGGGGCTCGGCCCCCGGGATGCTCTGGGTGCAAAGGGGATGCTCCGGGTCCCTGAGGGTGCCATGTTCCGTGCTGGTGCCTGGGGGTCTGGGGAGGTGCTTTGGGGATGTGGGGGCCTCCTGGGAAGCTCGGAGCATTCAGCTGTGTCTGGATGCTGTTGGGTGCGGATCTTTGGGACCTCGGGCCCAGCGGGGCTGCCGAGAGAGTGTGGGGGGAAATTGGTGATGGAACAGGGGGATTTTGGGTGAGTTTGGGGTGGATTTGCCTCTCCTGCTCCAGCACAGAGACACAGGCTCACGGTGGCCTCAGCCCTGGAGTCCTGTGCCAGCCTGGCGGGTGGAGGGGGGGATGGGCACCCTGGCAAGGGGTGTCTGTCAGAACGTCGGTGACATCCCTGTGGTTTCATTTCCACACGGAGTCTCATCCCACAACTGCCCTGTCCCGCAGCAGCCGCCTCCATCACGGCTGATTTCCCATTTCCAGTCACTCAGCTTCCTTATCAAAACTTGCTCCTGGAGCAGAGCCATCGGCGCTGAGCTCCCGCAGGAGGGGGCTGTGGCAGGAAGAGGATATTGGGTGCCTCCTCCATCCCCCCAAACCCGAGGACCCCTCTCCAGAGGGGAAGGAGGATCCTCGGTTGGAGTGTGATCCCACACTGGGGCAGTTCCACGTTCAGCATTCTCCTGTGGGGAGCAGGACCCCGATGTCACCTGCCCTTTCTGTCCCCTGCAGGTCCCATGGCGCTGGGCCGGGCCGTGCTGGTGCTGCTGGTGCTGAGCCCCCTGTGGGCGTGTGGGGCTGAGCTGCTGGAGCCAGGGCTGCCCTGGGGCGGGCAGTGGGTCTGGGGGGAAGCCAAGCCCCTGCCCCTCTCCCGTGGGAAGAGGGATGACAGTGGGCAGGAGCCCGGTGCAGCCACGATGATCGGCAGTGACGAGAGCGATGGTGGCTCCGTGCCACCACCAGCAGCCGGCACCAAGGCCAGCCTGCTCCGAGTGCCAGCCACAGCCGATCCCATGGATGATTCCCCTGAGCCTGAGCTGCTCCTGAGCTCTGCAGCACCAGTGCCCAGCACCAACACTAGCCTGCTCCAGGTGCTTGCACACACCACAGCCGAGCCTATGGATGAGACAGATTCCCCTAAACCTGAGTTACTGGAGGACTCTGTGGCACCAGCAGTGCCCAGTGCCAGCACCAGCCTGCTCCGGGTGCCTGTAGTGCCCACCACAGCTGATCCCATGGATGAGACAAATCCCTCTGATCCCGACCTGCTCCTGAGCTCTGCCCCACCACCAGCACCCAGCAGCGAGGCCAGCCGGGCACTGGTGGTGCCAACCACAGCTGATCCCATGGATGAGACCGATTCCCCTGCTCCCGAACTGCTGCCAGACTCAGAGCCTGCCACACCGACAGCAGCCCAAAAGAGCATTGGGAACCCCACCACCCCCAGCTGGCTCATCGAGGAGGACGCAGTGACTGATGGCCTGGACAGCAGCTCCTCCACGGGGCCGCTCTCAACAACCCCCCCAGCCTTTGTCCTCACCAGCACGGGCTACAGGAAACCCAAGAAATCCGGATCTCCGCCTGCATCGACCCTCCCGGCCACTTGGGACACGACGCCGGTGGCCACCGCCGTGCCCTGGGAGCCCAGCTGGGTGATGAGCAAGTGCCTGCTGGCCATCCTGCTGCTGGGGCTGGTGGCCGCCACCTTCCTGGTGTGCACGGGGGTGCTGGGGACGCTGCTGTGGCGGCGGGCGCGGACGGGAGAGCGCCGCTTCAGCCGCACCGAGATGGTTTGTATCTCCTCGCTGCTGCCCGACGCCGAGGCGGCCGCCGGTCCCCGGCCGGTCCCCGCTCGGAGGCACAAGCTGCTGCTGCCCGACGGCAGCACCGAGCCCGATGGAGACAACCTGACTCTCAGCAGCTTCCTGCCGGAGCACTCCTGAGCCCCAGGGATGGCTCCTGCATCCCGCAGAGCTGCGGGGCCGCGGGCAGGGTGCCCCTGTCCCCCCGGTGTTTTCGCTTGGACCACTGTGACGGAGCTGCGCCCCCGAGGCGCATCCCATTAAAGAGTTATCCGGACACGGTGGTCTTTTCCTGGCAGGGAGGGCACTCGCCAGCCCCCTCCCGGCCCCGCCGCCTGCCCACATCCTGCTGCCAAAATTTCGCTTCTCCATCCTCCCCCTCAAAGCCCCTGGGGGAGCAGAAACGAAACCCGCGGTCGCTCCTCGCCAGACAGGGACCAGACCCCGGGACTTTGGGGATGGGACCGCAGCCCCCGGGATCTCCTGCCCGCGTGGGCTCGGCCTCGTGGGAGCGGGAAGGGCGGGGGGGACGGGGCGGAAACGCGGGGGGACGGGGACAGGGACAGGACGGGTGCTCTCGTGGCACAACGTGTTCCTGCCTGCGGTCGCTGCAGCGAGGCGGGGACGCCTCCGGAGGCTGAGCCGGCCGCTGTCTGTCAGGTGCTCGGCCCCGGGGAGAACGGTGGCCGCAGGGTCTCGGCATCATCCAGCTGGGACTGGGAGGAATGGGGAGAGCAAATCCATGAGAGGGCAGAGAAGGTCCTACCATTTCCCCCGCTGAGGCAGGTGTCAGTCACCCCTCAGGCCACCTTGGGGGAGTGGAAATAGGCCAGGACTGTCCTGCCAGGCTCAATGTCCCCATTTTTCCATTTTACTCCACTCAGGCTCCCCAACCCCACATCCCCATCCCTGCTGTTACCAGCTTCAGTGTCCCATCTTTCCATCCTCACCCCTGCCCTGCCAGATTCAGCATTCCCATTCCCACATCCCCATATCCCCTTCCCCATATCCCCAAGCTTGCAGCCTCCTCGAAGGCCACTCTGGGCTGGCTGTCCAGGAGCAATTGCCAGCGTGGTCATTCACCTGCATCCCAGCCCTGCTGCCTGTTTACATTCACCCTGAGCTTGGGATATTTTCCATCTGGATCCTGGCAGCTGCACAGCCCCGCTCCGGCTGTGAATGTAAATGTTTATGGGTGAGTCAGGCGGGCCCACAGCTGGTGGCTGTGGCCTGTCCCCACGCAGGACACCCTGCCAGTGGGCTCCTTGCTGATGCCACCCTGCTCTGTCCCACTGTGTCCCCACGCCAGCACCCTCCCAGCCAAAGCAGCCACAGGGAAAGAGGGATGCTCCCATCCTCTGGCCTCACCCCACAGCAGCTCATCCAGCCTCTGCCCCCGGTGAGGATGAGGCTGGTGTGTCCTGAGGAACAGGAGGGGTGCAGATCCGGGGGATTGCTCCCACTCCCGGCCTTGTGCCAGCCGCTCTCCAGCAGGAGCCCAGCGAAGAGAAACTTTCTTTCACCGCGGGAGCCGGGAATCGCCCTATTTGGCGCAGTCAGCAGGTCCTGTCGGGCTGCCATCGCCCACCTCACGGCACAGGAATTCACGGGAAGCCTGCGCGGTGTCACAGCAGGATCCTCGGGGTGGGGTGCAGTGGGGTGGCACGGGGCCGTGGTGGGTGACAGAGGGCCGGGGGTGGCACGGGGCTGTGGTGGGTGACAGGGGTGGCACAATCCCACGCACGACGCTGCACATGGAGCTCCACACGCCTCGTGCATCTCTGCAGGACGGGCGCCCTCCGGGTATTTTGCTGGCACAGCAAAGCGCAGCCCAGGGAAGCAAATTAGAAGCAGAGCAAGGCTGAAATGCCTCAAATTGCCGGTTCCCCGGGCGGGCTGTGCCGCCGAGCCCAGCCCTGCGCGGCCGCGCGTTCCTGCTGCCCCAAATTACACGGCGGGGCCGGCCCTGCCCTGCTCGGAGGGGCCGGCCCGTGCCCGCTGCAGGCAAAAACGGCATCCTAATGGGCGGTGGGAGCTGGCACCGGGAACTGGGACGGGGATCCCGGCTGCGAGGGTGGGGACACTGGGCAGGGAGGGATGAGGACTCTGAGCAATGAAGAGAGGAAGGGTGGGATGGGATGCAGATCCTGGAAAAGGAGGGATGGAGGCTGTGGGTGAAGCAGGATGGGGATCCTGGCTGGGATGGGATGGAGCTCTTGGATGAGCAACAATGGGGACTCTGGACGATGTGGGATGCAGACCCTGGACAATGAAACTGAGCCCAACACCGGCATTACTGGGTGCGTGGGGGGAACTCAGCCCCAGCCCCACCTGGGCTGCAGGAGCAGGGCCGGATGCTGCTTGAACTCCTCGCCCTCCCCTCGCCTTTCCCCCTTCCCCTCTAAGATTTCATCACTGAGCACTTAAGGCCGGGAAAAGCCGCCCGAGCAGCTGCAGGGAGCTGCCGGGGCAGCCAGACGGACGGAGCCTTTATTTCGGGGAGCCGCGACGCCGGCGGCGACGCCGGAGAAACCCCAGCGGCGCCAGCCCCCCTCCAGCCGGGGGGACAGGATCCCTGCCCCCCACCCCGCGGGGGTCACGGTCCCCAGGCGCTGGCCATGGCTTTTTGGGGGGTCTGGCAGGTCCCCAGAGAGGAGCAGAGGAAAATAGCAACAGGATGAGGTCACGCAGCGGCTGCAGCCTCTTGAGCAACCTCAGGCCAGGCCGAGGGGACCAGGGCAGGGGGAGAGAGAGACTGGGGGGGCTCAAGAGATGCCCCCAGACCCCAAGACTGGAGACCAGCACCCGGGGAGCTGAGCAGCTGCTGTGTTTGCCTGGGGAAGCAGGGGGACCCCTGCCTGTGTCCCTGCCTGCACCCCAAGGCAGAGGTGCCCAGGCCAGAGCATGTCCAGGCTGGGATTTTAGGAAATGTTCTTCTGGAATTATGGTGATGGTCCTAAGCCGTGTTTGCCCCACTGCCTCAATAATGCCAGGGCGCTGAGCCCACATCTCTCACTGTCCCCCTTGGACCCTTGGATAGGCTTTACCCCCACCTTAGTGGATAAAAACAACATTAAAAACAACCCCCTGTGTGACCCTCATCCCCACTTGCACCCCAAAATGTGGCCCCTCCCGGGGTTGATGACGGGGGGCACCGTGGCTCCTTTGCTGACGGGATAAGCCAGGAAACACCCCCAGCCCCAGCTGGATTTCATCTGGGAGGGGGCTGGGGGCTGCCTGCCTTTCCCTGGCCTCCCACACCCCCTCCCCATCCCGGCCGTAATGAGAACAAGCTGGTCCCGGGCTGCGACGCAGGAGGAGGAGGAGAAGGAGGAGGAGAGGAGGGAGAAGGAGGAGGCTCCATCCCAGCAGGCTGCAGAAAGGGGCTCGAGGTGTGTGGGACAGATCCCGTCTTCCCGGCTGCCTCCCGCCGGCTGCGGGCGAGGTGAGAATCCCACTGGACGTGCCAAGCTGCTCCCCAAATTTTGGGGGGCTCTGGAGCACAGCACAGGCTGTGCCACAGCCGGGGGTGCTGCAGTGAGGGCTGGGCATGGTCCCCACGCGGGACACGGGACGGAGTCGGCCACATGGCCGCATTCCCAGGAGGGAATCTGAGCCTGCTGCCTCTGGATAACACCAAAATCCTGAATTTCTGGAGCGGTTGGGAAGTGGAGCTGGGAACGGGCTGTGGGTCTGGGGGTGGCCAAGGAAGGGGTTGGAATGGGATTGGGATGGGGTGGAGGGCTGGCAGTGCCCGTGGTGCCAGGGCCTGCTCTTGGCACTGCTCTGGGCTTTGCTCAGCCCCTCCGTGGCCGTGGCTGCTCCTCAGCTCTGGTGGCTGCCGGGGAATTGATGCCGTCCCCATTCCAGGACCCTTTTCCCGCCGAGGGGCCCCTGTCTGGGGTGGAGAGGAGGATGAAGGGGCTCATCTCACCCCTCAAACCCTTCATCCTGCCGGTGCTGGTCAGTGCTGTGACCCCACAGCCACAGCAGTGCCCACGGGGAGCCAGGAGGGTTGGGGGCCGGGGCACCTCCCACCTCTGCTGCTGTTTTTTTGCTCTGGATTAATGGAAACCAGATTGTGCAGCCAGGAGAGAGCCTGCAAGCCAAATCCTGCTGCTGGAGTCCCTCTCGGTCTGTAGAGCTGCTGGCTTGGGTTTGTTTGGGGATAATGGGATGTGGGCTGGAATTTGGGGAGCCTGAGAGTGGGGAATTGTCATGGGGGGGGTCCCTGCTGTTGTACCTGGGGAGCTGCTTCCCGAGACCTCCCCATGGAGCCGCGTGGAGGGGAAGAGCCCTGGGAACGGCTCGATGGCGTTACGTGGCATGGCACGCGTTGATGTCCCTCGGGAACGTCTCGCAACGCGGTGGAGACGGTCACGTCCCTCTCCCAAATCCCGTGGGACGCAGAGCCCGGCCAGGGGCTCGCACTGTGGGCTGTGGGATGGGGCAGATCCAGCCCCATCCAGGGGAGGAGAACAGCACAGGGACAGAGCCAGCCTTTCCCCCTTCGCAGGGACACTCAGGCAGCCGGACACCATTCCCTGCACTCCCTTTGTCCCACACCCCATCCCAGCTCCACTCAAGCACATGGTGGCACTGGGGTGAAATCCTGCCCCAAACTATTTTTAGCCACGTTCCAGCTGGGAATTAACGGTCTGGGACGGCGGTTGGGAAATGCCTCTTGCACAGGGCCCAGCCCCTTTGTAGCGTCGCCTGTGTCAAAGTTTCCACTGCAAACCTCCATTTTTCAGGAATTCTCTAATCAGCCAAATGACCGTTGTCTGGAGCCGGGCGCTGGCAGCAGCCCCGGTCCCCCGGCCTTGAGCAATCCCACCCAGCTGGCTTCCAGCTGCACCCTTGCAAAACAAACAGAGCCCCCTGCTCTGTCAGGGCGAGAAAACCGGAGCTGCCTTTCTACTTCCATAAGGAAATCCAGGGGGGTGAGATCTGGTTTGGAGGGCTCGCTCTGTTGGGGTATTAACATGTCCCCCCACATCTCTGCATCCCACAGGTCTCCTGCAGGAATCCTGGGAATGGGCTCGGCCATGGGCACGTGGTTGCCGCTCTTGGTGCTGCTGGTGGCAGCCCCGGCAGAGGCGGCGGCGCCGCGGCACCGCCCGGTGCTGCCGGACACGGCGGGCAGCGGGGACGGGGACGAGGCGTCGGCCACGCTGCCCGCCCAGCCCGTGACCCCCCGGATCAGCCCCACCGTGGGGGACACACCGGGGACCACGGTGACCAACAGCTCGGCTCCGGGCGTGCTGGACGGGCTGGTGGACTTCTTCAAGGAGTACCTGCTGCTGGTGGTGGTGGTGGGCTCGCTGTCCTTCGTCCTCCTCTTCATCATCTGCGCCGCCGTCATCATCCGGCAGAAGCACAAGGCCTCTGCCTACTATCCCTCCTCCTTTCCCAAGAAGAAATACGTGGATGAGCGGGACAAGTCGGGGGGAGCGCGGGCGTTCAGCGAGGTGCCCGAGAAAAGCCCCGAGGAGGGCGCGGAGGAGCCGCTGGACGGCGGCCGGCAGCTCCAGGCGGACATCCTGGCTGCTGCCCAGAACCTCAAATCCCCCCACAAGGCACCGCTGGCCAACGGGGCCCAGGGCGAGCAGAATTCCCCTCAGGAGGAGGAGAAGGAGGAAGAGGAGGAAGGAAAGAAGAAGCTGGGGGATGAACAACCCAAGCCCGCTGCCCAAAATCCAGGTGTGGAGGAAGCGGCGAGCGCAGGAAGCAAGGAGACCCCTGATGCATCCCGGGATGGCTCCCAGGCTCCCTCTGGAATGTGAGGCAGGGACAGAGTCCCGGGCAAGCCTGAGGAGCTGCTGGCTTGGGACACAGGATGGACATGGTGGATCAGGCTCCGTACGTACGTGGTGGCTCAAGGAAGCCCCGATGAAGATCCCATTCCCTCCCAGCTCCCCCGACCCTGGTGCTGATGGGACGCTCATGGGGGAGGGATTTGAGAGCTGGTGGTTTTCCCCAGCACTGGAATGCTGTCAGCCCCAGCTCCTGCTGCCCAAGGGGCTTCTCCCACCCCAGGCACTGAGTGGGTGCATCCCCCCAGCTGCAGCTCTGCCCCCACTGTGCCAACAGCTTCCTAACAAATGTTATTTTAATCATCAGCAGCAGCCTGGTCCGTGCCGGGCTCCTGGCTGGGAGCTGTGTCCCTCTGGGAGAAGGGATGGGACCAGGGCTGGAGGTCTGTAGGACACGGGTCAGCTTTGCCCATGGCCAAGGGAAAGAGGGATGGGGATTTAGGGACAAGGACCCTCCTTTCCTTCTTCCACCCCAGAGCCCAGCTGGATTTTTGCCTCACTTCCTGAACCCCTTCAGCTAGAAATAAACATTTCCTCCGCACAGCTCCTGTCCCGTGTGTCTCTGCAGCCGTGGGGTGGCCAGGGGACAGTCCCCGTGTCCCTGTGCTCCTCCAGGGGCACAGCTGGATTGGACTCCAGGGCCAATGGAGCCCTGGGCAGGGTGTTATCAGTCCCCACATCAGCACATCACGTGCCCTTCCAGGAAACCTTTATCTTGTACCCGCAGCTGTGGGGCTGAGGAGGAGCTGTGGAGGGCTCAGCTGCTGCAGTGGGGACAGGAGGGGAGCCTGGAAGGTGAGTGAGGCTGTTCTGCCTCAAAAGCAGCACATCCCTGTATCCCAGAGCCTCCTGTATCCCTGAGCCTCCTGTATCCCTGTGTTTTATCCCATTATGTCCCTGCCTCAGGACAACCTTCCCCCGGGAAGAGTGTGCCACCACAAAGAGCTGTTTTTGCCCCAAAGCAGACTCCTGTGTGTGAAGTTTCCCTGTTTTGTTTTTTTTTTTGTTTTTTTTTTTTTTAACTGGGAAACAGCAGGATTGTTCCATGAGGGAGAGACATGTTCCTCACTGCTGGAGGGTGCCAGGAGCTGAGGAACCACAAGAGGGACCATGTGAGTGACAAACTTGCAGAAACGTGTGACTTCTGTGTTAAAAATTACAAATATTGTGCCCGGATGGAGTAGAATGAGACATTTTTTTTTAAAACGTGGTTTTAGATGTTTAACAACACCCTTAGTATGAAAAATGGGAAGTGATGTGTCTTGTGGGGGGTTAGAAGGTTAAAAAGTGAAGTCTGCCAATGTGTTGTCTGCTTGGTTTGGAAATACTCCTCCAGAAAAGAGGAACTTGGGGAGTTCCCCCTCACCTCTGCATTCCAGCTCTGCTATTCCCCACTGGGGTTCCAGTCTGAGGGGGTACTTTAGAGAATCTTTGAGTGGTTTGAGTAGGAAGGGATTTTAAAGGTCATCCAGTTGCAAACCCCTTCCTTGAGCAGGGACACTTTCCTCTAGCTCAGGAATTACAGCTCTAAGAAAGCACCTGGTGAGTGAAGAAGTGAAATTCTTAGGGAAAACACCCCAAAATTCAGGCTGTTCTTCGAACAAGAGCTTCAAAAACTAAGTGGTGCCAGGATGGGAGCAGAAACCACCAGTGTTTCCTGGTCACTTTTCCCTTTGGCACCAGCAAAAAGTTCCAGAATTCCAAGAGCAGGAATTTGCCCCCGGATTGTGAAACCAACCCTGACGCAGCCAGAGCCAGGGACGGCCCCACAGCTCTGACACACACATCCAAACCAGGGCAACACTTCCCACTAAATTCCATAAAATATTAGGCAAAACTAGACATCTTCCCAAAATAAAAAGGAAAAGTGCAGCCCTTGCAGTACCGGACAGCGGGGTTTGGTCTCCGGAGCGGAGTCTTCCCGCGGCATTCCCGAGGGGACAGCAGCCCCCATCGTCCACGTGAGCACTACGGGGTGGCCGGACACCACAGGGACACGTTGTGCGTAACTTGTGCGTATCTTACAGCTTGAGTAGTGCACGGGCTCCTACAACAGCTCGGGAGTTGCACTGCAGTGAGGAGGGGAAGCTGCGCAGGCGCGTCAGGCGTTGTCGGCTTTTTTGTCGGGTTCTTTCTTTGAGTCCTGCTTCAGTTTGTAGTCGGCCAAGGCAGCCTTGATGGCGTCTTCAGCCAGCACTGCAAAGCAAAAAGGCATTTTAAGGACAATTGTTTAAGGACAATTCGAGGGCTTTTAGGACAAAGGATGAAGTAAAAAACAAAAGCAGGCAGCAGTGAGCAAACAGGACCAGCAGCACAGCCTGGTCTTAGGAGTAGAATCTGAATGGAATTCCTGAAACACTGAATTCTTACAACACTGAATTCCTGTAACGCTGATTTCATGCAATGTAACTTCAGATAA